TTTCAGCAATTAAAGTATGATTGACAGAGTGCAAAGCATAATGATTAGGTTTCATCGTTTGAAGATTTAAAGAAGGTGCAACCAGTTCTTGAAATTATTCTTTATGAATATTTATCAAACTCTACAATCCCTCTATTTGTTAAATGCAGTGAATCTTCTATCACTAGCTCATTATAAACAGTTTTGCTTTAGTGCCATAATTTTGTCATGTTTTACAAGGGTTACAACTGACAGCAGCAAGTGTGTAATATACATTCACATTCCCCTGCTCACATCTACTGAACTGAGCATTTAGACTTCATATGGGGGCATTAAACTAAATATATAACTGTTCCTGAATTAGAGATTTCATGCTTTAAATCAAAGGACTAAGTACAAGATGTACCTCAAATGAATACAGCTGGGAAGTCAATGTGATAGCTAATACAAATTCAAGGTTCCTTGGTAAGCCCTACTCATTCCTTATGGTTTTCTACTGATGAAGAATGATGTGTAAAAGCCAGCAAAGGAGCGTGTCCCCATGCTACCTCTCAAACATAAATTACTGGTTTTGCACTCAGTGCAAGCTGCCTGCTTAAGAGAAAAGGATATTGTCTTGAGTTAGATATAGCAAATAAACAGAATGACAATTTGCACTACTACTCTCTGTTCTGCATTCTGATTTTTCTGATTTTACATAAATATCTAGATCAATAATGGCTAATTAAATTTTGATTGTTTTGTTGGGATTTTTAAAAAATACCTGATCTGCAAACAGATTGTTTTTCACCTCTTTGGTTGTCCAGAAAGAACATTTCATAATCAAAAGAAATTATTACAGATGAAACAGAGTATGCTATCCTAGAGGGTGTAAAAGCAGCATCTATGGACCTAGATTCAGTTATAGAGATAACATTACAGTGAACCTCAGATGCAATCAAAGTAATCATGCTACGATTGCAGTTTGAGGTAGTGCAAGAATGAGGGCCAGTGCTGGGAGTGAAAGGATATCACACCTGCTGCATTTTAATGGGACTTGCAGTTGTTTTGCAGAAAGTGATGTATGGTAGTCATATAATCCACTGCCAAAGCCTAGTCAGACCCCAACAGAAACCTAGAAAGGTGTCAGGCATAAAGTTTCCTACTTAACAGGAGCCTGCAAGAGGTAGGTGTGCAATTGTACCAAAAAGTCGTCAGCAGCAGCTTGAGATGCCTCCATTACAGGTATTGAACTCAGAATTCCAGTCATGAGAACGGGTTTGTCTGTCAAGGAAAAAGAGGCAGGAGAGTAAGAGGAAGGATACTTGAGGTTTTGGGTTTCAAGTTCATGTGTATATGTGCACCATCATCTATCCATTCACTTTTCAGATGCATTTTCTGGGAATTTCTAAGATTAATGTAATCATAAAAGACATTCAGAGCCATTGACTGTTTAAAAACATGCATTTTGTCAGATGAAAATCTTGCATATACTTGGATGCTCCTATTGCTTATAATTACTGTAGGGTAATATAGTGAAGTCTGTCACAACCATATTCTGTGAGACTTTTCTTTAAACATTTTCCTAATATATTACAAGGGAAGATGTTAATCATGTACACCTTTTCTGTCATTTAGTCATAGTGCATTGCTAATACTCCCTCCCAAGAACATATGCTCAGTTTATGTTCTCATAAAGATTTAGTCTTGTACACCTAAGTCTGGAAGATGAGCATAGTAAAGGAAGTCCAGCACACTTTTCCCATAAACCTTGTGAGACGGACACTGGGTAGTTATTGGGAAGAAGGAGCATATTCCTGTTCTTCTCCCTTTTTCAGAACTGTAAGGAAGAACAAATAAATCAGAGCAGGAAAGAGGCTGAGCTCTTTTTAGATCCAGCCAGCAGAGAACAAAACTGTTGTCTCCTTCAGACAGATAAATTCCATCTGAATAAGTTTAGAAAAGTCAGTAGCTCCCCAACCACAGAAGAGCTGGTCTACCATTACAGCTTCCAGCTGCTTGGGGAGGCCAGGGAAAGGGGGCTGGTGCATCCTGTTCTGAAAGAATGATCCCTGCAGGTCTTTACCATGTATTGAACTTGTCTTCTCATAAAAGACTTTTAGGACCAATACAGAGTGCAAGCTACTCCTACTGTTTTGTTTCCTGACTACGAAGCACACAGCATTGAGGAAATGGTCCCCTGGCAGGTGATCTGATGGCCAGGCTCCCCCACAAGAAAATGTCCTTTACTTGCAGAGCATTCTTAAAAATATACAGACATAAAGATAGGAATTATCTAGGCTTTGAGGGGAGGTAAGTTTTTAACTATTTAACATCTAAAAGGCAAGATGGGAAACTCTACATTTTTACTGAATTTTATGTGATTTACTCCATCATTTTGAATTATTATAGTTTGGGGCCCATCAAGTAGAACTCCACTTTCCTTTAGTGAGGTTTTTAATATTTAATGTTGGCTTTCCTATGTTATATAAATTGTAATAGTGTATAGTTAAAATTAATTTAGTCTAGTATAATTTGCATTTGGTGAAAATGCCAGAAGGATCACACTGGAACTATAATAACAGTAGCAATAGCATTTCTGGAAGACTGAAATAGTGTTATGCCTAAGAAGAGTGTTTTCAGTAGCTCAAGCTCAAAAAGTCATCCAGATAGGGAAAAAAGCAGCAGAAATAATTTTAGGTGAAAAATGAACCAATAAATATTCCATAACCATTCTTCAGCTTTTTTTCAGATATTATGATGGCAATTAGGACAGAATATACTGTTTCTTTGATATTGTCTACAGATGCCAAGTCTACATGCTCAGTTGGGTTATTCAATTCTTAAAATGCATTATGGTCAAATGACACTTTCTAAAGTGGTTTTCTGTTAGAACTACATCAAATGAAAGCCTTATTGCTGGCTTAAATGTAATTCAGTTCATCCTTGTTGTGTTGGGATGTGTTTTTATATATTAGGTGAAAGAAATGAAAAAATTTCAAAAAAACATTAGTCATTATGAGGGCTTTTTAATATCATCAGCACTACCATAAAGCCAGATGATAAACTGCACACTATTCAGAAGAAAGACATAGAATAAAATTAACATTGCATTAGTCTAGATTAATTATAGTCCAGGATTCCTGTCATTCTATGCAAAATAAAAGCTTGACTATTTCAGATTTTAAAGTTTCTTCTCAGAATTTAACATTATTTGCATTGAGAGGCAAATAAGAAGCCCACATACAGAAGAAAGAATGCAAGATTTTGGACTGGTATGGTTGGTAAATTCATATTCTTGTTCTAAACAAAAGCAAAGCAGCATTGATGACTTGGATCCATGTGATTAGCAGTAACGTTTCACATTAGTAACCTAATGAAGCTCTTCAGTGTTAGTGACAGGTAAATGCTTGACAAGTTTATGGTGAGGGGAAAAAGCTTCAATAAATAATTTTAAAATCTGCCTCTCTTCTTGCTTGCATAATTATTGCTTTTTATAATGGCTTAATGGAACAGCAAAGCATAGGTGAAAAAGGCTAGAAAAGAGGAATCGTCTTTGGATCTAATAGGATGTACAGTGGGTTTTTTACTTCTTCTAAGATGAAAACTACTTAACAGCCATTAGGCCTCTCACAGACTTAAGGGGAGAATTTAACTGTCTTTTTTCATATAGATAGGTCTGTCTAGGGATCAGACCTAAAATAGGGGAGATGAAGATTTCTCTCTGTGCAAGTAGAGAATAATAGTTTCAGGATGTTTTAACTGAAAGAAGAAAGTTCTGGAATCTCTCACTTGAGCTCTTCCCCCTAATACTAGTTACCCAAGAAGATCACAACCAGAAATCTGTTGCTCTCTTTGCAATAAGGGAAAAATCTGATGCCTGAATGCTTCAAAGGGCAGGAGGCCAGTCCTGCAGGGACTCTGATGTTTCTGGTAAAATCCTTTTCACCATGTTTTCAATAAAGTGAAATTTTAACAGAAATTTTCCCTTTTTTTAATGAGGAAGGAAAAGTCAGACTTAAAACTCACTGAAGGAGGTGGAAATTGTCTGAAAAGAACATCTGGGAATTTTTCAGGCTTTGATCAGAAGTGCATCAGGTTTTGTCATCTGTATTCCGGTTTAGTTAAAGAAAAAATTGGATCCAAAGGGGGGGAATTAACTGAAATATATTTTTCCTGTCAAAATTAAAAAAACCCTTGGATTGAAAATTTCAGTTTAAAAAAAGAAGCCACCTACTGCTGTTAACATTTTCTACTGACAGTTTTCCAAACAGACGTGATTAGGAAACTACTGTGGGTAGGTATAGGTGGTAGGTATGTCTTATGCTCCCCTGAAGCATCCCTGAATGCCTAATTGAAGCTGGTAGTATTAATGGATCACTCAGATATTTAGATGCTACCTGTTTCTGCCTCTGATGGAAGAATGATCCTCAAAAGCATTGAATAATACTGGATTTTTGCAGTTTCACAATGTGGCTGGTAAAACAACGAAAGAATTCAGAGGATATACAATTATATCCTATGGCATGTACACAAGAACAATAATAAAATGGGCAACAATGAAAGGGAAGCCACTGAGGAAAGATCCATCAATCTGGTAACTATAGGCATTGCTGAAAGCACACAGTAAATAGAAATGGAATAAGGTATATAAATAGTGTGATGGGACTGAAGCAAAGAATTCTACATGTAATTTATTTAGATTGAATTCTCTTATGTAAATAAAGCATTTCATTGCAAAACAGCTAAGATACATTATTCTATTTCCTGCTGCTAAAATAGACATTATGCAACAGTTGTTTGCATAGCTTGTTCAGAGGAGGTATACTTCAACCTCAACAACTCTTGCTTGATTTGCTGTTATTATTTTGGTCCATACAGTCTAATTCAGGATTGTTGCACAGTCCTGATTGTCCACTGCTGCAGGAACACTATTCTTCTTTTAACCTTCAATGATTTAAGATGGGAAAGTCTAATAGATATTGATATCTGATTGATTTGTGAAAAAGTGAAATCATAGTCCTCTTCGCTCTTTTCCCCAGCTGTCTTGGCTTCTTTTTGAGGTTCTGCTGGAAGAAATTCTATGCCTTCATACTAAAGCCAACATTTCATTTCTCAGTTTCTACAGATCAAGTGATGAGATGCCATGTGTGAACCCCCTGAAGGCTGAGAAGAGAAACTCTGACTTCCCCACAGAAAATTGTGAACTGCGGTTTCTTACTGGCTAGCAACACCTTTAATTCAATTTGTATGAAACTCAGTTTACTTATTAAAATGGACGTTATTGTTCAAATATTAGAAATTCCATTTCTTATATGTTCTAAGCTGTACAATTGTCAGATTTTTATGGTTTAGATTGTAAATGTGGTTTTCTCTGGCTAATTATTGGTATTATTTTTTTAATTTTGATGTCTTAAAGGCCAATGTACTGTATCATAATAATATGAAGGACATATTTAACAGGTGTGGAAAACACTGTATACAAATGTATATTTCTAAAAGCTATTTTTATGATTAGCATGTTTTACTGTTTCACCATATTTAGAGTCAGGTGATATTGCACTTCTTTGTTTAATGTTTAATTCAAACAAGACCATTATGATCAGTGTCACTTTTAAATACATTGTATGGTATTTTCCATTATTTTATTTAATTTATTTATCATTGGAAATAATTATATTTAGTAATAGGATAGCTTCTAAACAGTGAAAATGTCAAAATAAGAGAGTAATCCTTGATAAACTGTAAATTAGATCCTTCTGTAAATCCTTTTCTTCAGATAAGCACTCTCCATGATGCCATTCATCAGACATTGTTACAGCTGTTCCTGCAAATCTCTAAAGGCTGTTTGTTGTTACCATATGGAAAGTTTCCATGACAGTCAGTCTCCTGTCTAGCCAGGAAAATTACTTATAGCCTGTCAATATCTGACAGCCTGAGTTAGCCTATTTAATACTTTTTGGGTTATTTTCTGGCAGTAGTCTTTCCACTCACAAACTCCTAAATCCCTCCTAAGAGCCTGAAGTTGGAATAATTAATTATTACAGGTGTTGTAGGGGGAATCTCAGTATAGAATTTCTTAATAAATCATAATTCCTTTCAAACAGAATGGATGCATTATTTCTTTTGTCTTACTAAGACATTAAGGGTATCAAAGCATATATGATGTGGGCAAAAGGTCTTCTTCTCTAATAAGAGTATCAGCTTGTTCACCACCCTAAAGTCAGACCTCGTTAGCACTGCAGATGACATGAAACAAGGAATATATCACCTACATCTTTATGTGAGATGTACTCCTATAGAAAGAGACGTCTTTAGAGTAATTTCAAGGAAACAAATTACTTAGTAACTACAGCTTTTCAAGAGGGAAAAGTACTAACTTAGGAAGTATCTTAGGCATTCTTTACAATCATTACCCTTAGATTATAAACTCACAGAAATAATTGCACATTCATAATATTGACACTGTTTCACACCACAGTTTAAGTCCTGAATATATTTTGAACACAAAAAGACACCTCTGATAACACCATGAGGCACTATTTCATTTGCAAGCCAGAAGATTGTTACGCCATGCAGTCTATTACTAGCAAGGGTTCTCAATGGCATGTTTGCTTAAAATCACTACAGAGGATGCTGGTAGCTTCAACAGAGCTTGATAGTTCTCTGCTGTTCATGTATGTGGTATGCTTGGTGTTGTTTGCCACCACTACCTGTATTGTTTTACATGAGTTTTGTCAGTTGTGGGATTTTTTAACATTGCTCATCCCTTGAAATATGGAAGAACAAGAAACATAAAAGATCTTGTCAATCCGTTTGGATAGTTAACAGTCTTATAAAATCCTTTACAGTTCTGAATCAAATCAATTCATTTTCTACACAGACCTGTACGCTCTGTGTGTTTCAGATATTTGTTTCAAACCTGTGCAGTTGCATGAATGGAAAATATTTACTAAAAAGCTTTAAAGTTTGGATCAAGAAGAAATATTTTTACTTTTGTAAATTCTTGTATTACATATTGTTGCAATTCTAATTAGTTTTCTCTATATTTCCATTTTTAGTTCTGAAAAATACAGTACCTAAACAATGTAGATAGCTACAATCTTGTAAGCAGTTGTTTTTAATTGGTGCCACTGCAATTTAGAACTAAAACATTCAGAGTTTGCCCATGCAGAGCAGATTGATGGTTCATTACAGTTTTCTTTAAAATGTTGTAACATAATTTTTACATGTCTGTAAATAAATATTTTATCTGATTTACGCACTAAATCAGTTTTGCAATTTCTTCTTTCAAAATGTGACTCTAAGACACTTTCCAGGAAAAATGTGTTTCTCTCATGGAAATAAAGCTCTGTACCCAAGCAGACCCAACAGAAACAGGCATCCATAACATCAAGTACTTATGTAAGTAAAATGGAGAAAAACGTTAATGCCACTATCATTTTAACAGTTTGAGAAATTTAAGCACCAGTCCTGTATCAAAAATATTACTGACAAGAAATGTGACAAACTTCCTGAAAAGCAGGAATTCTTCAGTGAGGTGAGAAAGAGAGAGGCACAGAAGTCTTTCCTATTCAGTCTGCAGAGCAGTGAAGTGGTTCTGCAAGGACACCTCAGGTGTCAGGGGAAGTCTTTGACGTTACGAGCTTCCATTCTTCTGCATTGCTGGCTCCCCTCCCTTCTGTGTGTTCCAGTGAAGGAGTTTCTTTCTGTTTGGTTTTAGGCTGTGGGGCCACTCCAGACTATACTCGGAATAAGCTATCTAACTCCTCAGCCTCCCCAGTGTTATGCAGCCTTCAAACCGCCTCCTGCAGCTCAGCCACCTGCCACAGGATGTCCTCTACCCGGGCACGACTTTGGCAAGCAGGTCTGCAGGCTTTTCCTGCCCTTGATCCAGGAGAAAGGCCTTGGAACTTCTTTCAGCCTGAAGTCTGCACTGCAGCCTCCCCCTTCAGCACCTCCATCTGGGTGGAGGCCTCAGCCACTGCTGGCGTAGATGGTGCAAACTCCCCCACCAGAGCTGCAGCCTTTGCTCTTGGTTGAGCACCCACCATTCTGCCTTGGGGTTCAAGTAGGATGAGCGTCCTTGACCTGTGCAGACGGTCACAGAACATGCCTGGTTGCTGGATTGTACACACTACAAGTCTCTTCTCTTGGCTAGTGGAATGCCCCACATTCAAAGAGGTGCCCTTCAACGCAAGCTACCGCTCCACACCTTGGTTGACCTTGCCAGGCCCTGTTTGCCTGACCTCCTCCCCATGCTCCTGGTCACTGGTGCTTTCCAGGACTGCCCTTTGTGGGAATGAGAGGCAGACACTTATTTCAGGCCTTGCCCATGCCTCCTCAGCCACTCCTGTGGAATCTGCTGGCTCCAGTTGGGTTCCATTCTGCACCTTATCTATTCCTATTAGGGACAAAGACAAATATTTTTGAGTTTTGAACCTGTTAGGAAAACAATTATAAAAATAATGCAAAATTATTAGAGAAGTGGAGGAGTTTTTTTCACATGGTAATGGATCCTGTCTCTTTGCCTTAGGCCTCCTAAAGGGTAGGTGCAAAGCAAAACACTGGAAAGATTTTCTTCTCTTGTAAATTCTTTACTCTGAGACAATAAGCTTGTTCCACATCTTTATAACTTCAGGCTTTTATCCTCCCTAAAATAAAGTTGTAGCTCGTAAGAACTCACCAAAGTCACCCACTCAGATACAATAGCCACAGATCAGAATAAACACTTCTACATGGTTATGCTCCCATACGAGAGGAAGGATATTGTGTGTGGTGAAGCTAAGGACAGTTGGGCACCCTAAACTAGCAGAAAATATGTTTATTTTGGCCAGCAGCTGCCAGTCTTAACAGTTAGTCAAAAACAGGCCGGAGTAGGGATAGCCTATTCCTAGGGAAAGGAGGGTCTAGCCAAGGATATGACTATAGATGCAGGAAAGATCCTGTACTCTAAGTAAAACCAGCACAACTTTAGAAGTTAGTACTGTATCTCTCAGCAATGAAATATTCTGACCATGAGGATGAGAAAGTAAAGGCACCCGTGTACAGCAGTTACAGCCCTATTCCCACAGTTCATGCCCTTAAAATAACGAGCTCTGAGAAACTGGTTAGAAAATCCTCTGAGAAACTGCTTCAAAAACCACCAAGTGTCTGCTCCAGGGAATAAATAGTTATTGAGTTTTGGATGGTGGGATTATTAACTCATTTGAGAAAAAAAGAGCTTGAAATTTTGGGGTGCTATAGTAAGAATTTTTTTTATTAACCTCTCAAAGAAAGATTGCTGTTCCACACTCGTGTGAACAGAATTAATCCACAAGTATCACACTGTATTTTAACAGAAAACTAGTTCACATCCACCATCCATCCCATCCATCCCCTATAAATCCCACTAACAACCAAGCAAAAGTGTTTCTAAAGGTTACATTTAAATCTTTCTAGTTCTGCCCTGGTTACATGCACTTAACAGCCTAGGGTAATGGAGAAGAATCTTTGCATAACCACTCTGTTGGTGTATTACTATGTGTGACTATATCTATGGTATGTAGCTACATATATGTGGAAAGAAAATATCCTTCCATTGCTTTATGCTTTAGATAATTTGAAATGTTTCTCCTCAAATAGACACAACTAATGTTGTGGAAAATAAGAATTGAACTCATCCCTGTTGATATCAGTTACTAAATGAGTACCTTCAGTGTCTTCTCCAACCAGATTTTTAAGCAGAAACTGTGATCAGTGCTAAAGTCTATGAGGAGTTGCAGCAGCATTTGGAACATTATTTAAAGAAAGAAGAAATGATAATTCATATTGACTCTGCTAATATCACTGCTGCAGCAGGATCACAGTGGAACATGGTGGAAGAACAGAGTATATTCAGTGTGGCAGGGCTGCAGCTTGAATCTGGTATTGAAATCTCAATGAACTTTGAAAGGATTTTATCTCAGGATGACTGAGGAAGTTACTGAAAGGAGATGTGCTGCACATGTACTAATTTTAAATTTGAAGAAACCTCCTCCATATATTTATTTATTTTTACATTCTTCCCTGCATGCCATGATTCTGACTATTGTTTCAAGGACTAAGCCTCAAAATTTACAGGTGATTTTGGCTGAACTTCCTTAGAATTCAACACTTAGCAATATGTAGTCAATCACATGAAATATTAACTCTTTGTTCAGAATTTTAGCTTTAGTGTTTAATCCACAAGGCAAGGGAAGGATTTCATAAATGCCTGTTTACTTGAGTGGTTACATTAACTGTAAGTCTATGCTTCCACTGATGGAAAAACTATAGGTCATAGAATCATAGAATTGTTTCAGTTGGAAGGAACCTTAAAGATCACACAGTTCCAAACCCCCTACCCTGGTCAGGAAGACTTTCCACTAGACCAGCTTGCTCAAAGCTTCATCAAAGCTGGCCTTGAACACTTCCAGGAATGAGACATCCTCAACTTTTCTGGGAAACCTGTTCCAGTGTCTCAGCATCTCATACTAAAGAACTTCTTCCTAATATCTAGGAAGGCTAGGAATATCTAGGAATATCTAATTTTTTTTTTTTTAATTTTTGTTTTTCTAACAGACAATCTTTTATATTCTGGTCTCCATCAGTAGTCTACTTTAAAAAAGAGGACAAATTTTTACACAATATGTGATAATAAGCAAATAAACTTCTAGACATTTCTTAGTTCTACACAGGACAACTTTCAGTAACATGTGATGACATATCACAAATGATGTTTTACAATTCATTATTCTACTATTCACTGAGCACTATTATTTAAGGTAGCAGGCTTCACAAATAGACAAAGTCTATTAGGTCATGACTCAAGAACATAAAATCAGTTTTTGACAGCAAGCTATGTAAAATCAATTGTGCTGATTTCAGGGGTGAGTGACCTTTCAAATTTTGATACTTCTGCATTTACATGAGGATCATTTGCAAGTGGATTACAAGTTCTGAATTATTTTTGTATTAGGCTAACACGGTGGGAAAATGGTAATCCAGGAGTGCTACCAACTTATATATGACTCATTCAGACCAATTTGCTCCACACAGGGTTTGGAGGATCCAAGTCATGTCACAGAATAACATGATAGAAGCAGACAATCAATAATGGCAATAGGAAAAAATTACAAAAATCAGCACCCATGAAATTGCATACAGGCAGCCATGTAGACAAATGACTGTTCTAACAGAGGTAGACTTTAGGTACAAGGGAAGCTCTGTGAAACCCCATGCATTGCAGAGCTACAAAGAGACCCCATTTGCTGCTTCTGCCTGCTCAAGGGACCGAAGAACCTTAGCAGATGTTAGATTTCTGGCAGCTTCCTCAGATATAACTTTTCAAAAATATCTTTATAGAGGACAAGCTCAAGCTTTTTTCCCATCACCTTCATCCCCTTTTTGAGTGTGGTTTGCCTCATCTGTTAAACTACAAGGTTTTGAAGAGAGGATAAATGCAGCAAAGTGATCTCCTAGGAATGAAGAGCATGAGTGAGTGGGTATGTGCTGACCTACACATGCACAACCCACTGACTTGGAAATGGCGGAGATCCCTTCTCATCTCCACTGTCCAGAGCAAACTCCTTGAGGAGTGAAGTTTGAGCAAGAGACTGAGTTTGGAGGACAAAACTGTCATGGAGCTTATGATCTCCTCTTCAAATATGTTTTTTATAGATTCTTTTTCATCTGCAGACCTCAAGTAGTCACAGAAGAAGAAGGCTGAATCATTTATTAGTTATAGACAGGGGATGTAGGACATGGAGAGGCCATTTAGCTCTCTCACAGACTTTTCCTGTCGGTAACATCAAGAATCTCAGAGGAATATATGGGATCCTGTCTGGTAAGATTGAAAGATAACAGTGTTACAGTATATCGTATCTTTCTGTTTCCTTACGGGCAAAGTTCTTAAACTAAGTATTTCACATCACGCTGGGTATAAATTTTTACTGCTGTGAATAGTCAGCATAGTAATGGAGTTTAAATCATAAATCACATTTTACTCTCCAGAAAAATGCCCCAGTAGGGGTGGTTCTAAGTTGACTCTTAACCATGTTTTGGAGGAAATAGTGTGCAAAAGAAAATTATTTCATCTCTTCAAGCTGAGTTGGTGGTGTATAACTCCTTCAGCAATGATAATCAGATTTTAGTGGTCTCCCTAGCAATGCAGGTGAAAATTTAGAAAACCATGAATGTATCCAACAGCAAATACAGAAATTCACAGTATTAATAATGCATCCCACTGAGGCTTAGTTTTCAGGAATACT